AAAAAAAAGTCCAAAAAACAACCCACTCAGGGTGGGCGGAGGGGGCACTAGGGTGAGGAGGGCCAGAACCAACAAAAAACAGAGTCCAGAAAACAAAAACAACCCACCCAGGGCAGGCGGAGGGGGCACTAGGGCGAGGAGGGCCAGAACCAACAGAAAAAGAGGTCCAACAAACAAAAAACAACCCACCCAGGGTGGGCGAAGGTGGAAACAGGCCAGGAGGGCAGAAAACAAAACCAGAGTCCAGAACAAAAAACGATCCACTTATGGTGGACGAAAACAAATGAAAACCCAAAAACCTTCTTGGGCAAAGTCTCTAGTGGCCGGCCGAGGGGTCGGCAGCGGGACTGAGTCTCAGATGACCGGCCAAGGGACCGGCAGCAGGACACAGTCTCAGGTGGCCTGCCGTGGGGCCGGCTGCAGGACACAGTCTCAGGTGGCCTGCCGTGGGGCCGGCTGCAGGACACAGTCTCAGGTGGGCTGCCGTGGGGCCGGCAGCAGAGGCGTAGTGGCTGCCCAGAAGGCCGACCGTTGGAACGGTGGCGAGGCCGATTCTCAGGGGGCCTACCACTGGGCCGGAGACTAGCCCGATGCTCAGGAGGCCGACCGAGGATCCGGTAACGGAGCACAGTCTTAGGTGGCCGGCTGCGGAGTCGGGAGCGAAGCTGACGCTCTGGGGGTCTGCTGCGAGGTCGAAGGCGAAGCCGATGCTCTGAGGGTCTGCTGCGAGGTCGAAGGCGAAGCCGATGCTCCGGGGGTCTGCTGCGAGGTCGAAGCCAATGCTCCGGGGGTCTGCTGCGAGGTCGAAGCCAATGCTCCGGGGGTCTGCTGCGGGGCCGGAGGTGAAGCTGACGCTCAGGAGGTCTACTGCGGGGCCGGAGGTGAAGCTGACGCTCAGGAGGTCTGCTGCGGGGCCGGAGACGAAGATCCTTCTCAGGAGGAAGATGTCCAAACTTCAGCAGGTACCCCCACGGGGTACCCCGTCCCCTCCTCGGCAGCTCAGGCTCCGTAACGACTGCCGACTGAGGCTCAGGAGGAGGCTCTGGGGAGACCGCCGAGTGCGGCTCTGGAGGAAGCTCTGGGGAGACCATCGAGTGCGGCTCAAGAGGAGGCTCTGGGGAGGCCATCGAGTGCGGCTCTGGAGGAGGCTCTGGGGAGACCATCGAGTGCGGCTCTGGAGGAGGCTCTGGGGAGACCATCGAGTGCGGCTCTGGAGGAGGCTCTGAAGTGGCCGCCGACCGTGGTTCTGGAGGAGGCTCTGGAGAGACCGCCGATTGCGGCTCCGGTTCTGGAACTGGGGAGCCCGCCGACTGCGGCTCCGGGTCAGGAGCAGGGGAGCCCGCCGACTGCGGCTCCGGGTCAGGAGCAGGGGAGCCCGTCGACTGCGGCTCCGGGTCAGGAGCAGGGGAGCCCGTCGACTGCGGCTCCGGAGCAGGGGAGCCCGTCGACTGCGGCTCCGGAGCAGGGGAGCCCGCCGACAGCGGCTCTGGAGCAGGGGAGCCCGCCGACAGCGGCTCTGGAGCAGGGGAGCCCGCCGACAGCGGCTCTGGAGCAGGGGAGCCCGCCGATAGCGGCTCTGGAGCAGGGGAGCCCGCCGATAGCGGCTCTGGAGCAGGGGAGCCCGCCGATTGCAGCTCCGGGTCAGGAACAGGGGAGTCTGCCGATTGCGGCTCCCGGTCAGGAACAGAAGACACCACCGGCTGTGGTTCCACCTCTGGAACTGGGGAGGCCACCGACTGTGGCTCCACCTCAGGAACTGGTGACACTACCGACTGTGGTTCCACTTCTGGAACTGGAGGGACCACCCATGGAGGCTTAAGTTCAGTCCTTGAGGTGGCTAGAGGCGTCTGTGGAGGACTCTTGGTGGTTTGTGGCCTTTGCTGAGGGGCTCTTGGAGGCATTTTTTCACCAACTCCACTTTCTGTATGCTCAGGTGTCTCTAGACGGCACAGGGCAAGCTCAGGGGTCTCTGGACAGCTCAGAGCTGGTTCACGGCGACGCCGTTTCTTACGTCGGGGTTTTATAGAAACTGGACTAATTGGTTCAGAGGCTGACTGAGACAACAGGTTAACTAGAGTGTTAGCGGGTCTAGTAGGTTTATGGAGAGGTGACAAGAAGGGGAACAGATCATCTCTATGGCCGTAGTAGAAGTTCCAGAGTTCAGACTCATGGGTAATGGGGGCTCTGACTGCTTGGTTTGTGAGTTGTGGTTTGATTTTAACTTTCTTAATGGACGGTGCTAACTGACGATCATGCAAGTGGTGGCTGAACCGGACTGGAACGGGCTGAGACGGACTGAACAGTGCTGTACAGAGCTGTACTGGGCAGGACTGAGCTGGACTGGGCTGGACTGGACTGGACTGGTCTGGGCAGATCTGGACTGAACTGGGCTGAGCTGGGTTGGACTGGGCTAAGCTGGGTTGGACTGGTTTTCTAGACCTGGGTTTGACTCTTGCTCGTAGTCTGTAATATTAATATATAGCTGTGTGAATTAGCTCTTCCAGGGTTGCAGATTGATCTAATGTTACTAGTTTATCCCTAATTTCCTTATTTAAAGCGTTTAAGTAGATGTTTCTTAACATGGAATCACTCCAGCCAGAAGCAGCGGCTCTGACCCGGAAGTCTATTGAAAACTCCTCTACGGATTTATTTCCTTGTGTGAAGTTTGACAGACCATGAGACCCGGCAGATTTATCAGAAAAATTTAGAGTAAATTCGTTTAGAAACTGTTCTAAGGTACAAGTTATACTGGATTCAGGAAAACGGGTTTCTTTCCATTTTCGGGCTTTACCGGATAATTGTGAGAGAATAAAAACTATCTTTCTCTCGTCGTCAGGAAAACTGGACGGATAAAGTTCAAAAAACAATTTGCACTGCCACAGAAAACCTTTACATTCATAAGATAAACCAGAAAACTGCGAGGGACGGAAATCAGGAAGTGACGTAGCAGATTCTGACCTTAGAAGCGGATCTGAAACCGGAAATGACGGACCCGGAACCGGAAGTTGAACTGGCGCCATCTTATGATTCCCTCGAAGTCCGTAGAATCCAGAAACGTTAGTTTTAACAATCAAAACTAGAGTAAACTCGCGGAGGGTTGTGTCAGTCCTTGGATCTAAGCGTCCCGTTCCTTAATCTACCGACGGAGGTGCTCTGCTGGGCTTGTGTCTTTGGCCGCAGTGTTCTGTCATGATGGGTTCTCTAAGAGTAAGCCCAAGATGCAGAACACATACAGAGGCACTGGTAAAAAGTCCAAAGAGTTTATTTAAGGCACAAGCA